GGTAAACAACTTTAAAACTCGTATATATAATTGTTATTTGACTTTATATTTACAAGTACATTGTTTTTATGCCCATTATTTATCTGATTTTTTTGAATTTGAGTATGATATGTAATTATCTAAGTAAATAAAATACTTATAGGTAACGAATGTTCTTATACCCAATACTCACCCTACCATTAACTAAGAGCAACACTGATACAAGGTCCATTATTTAGAAGTTAGGCAATTGCATATTTCAATCGGGCTTGAACTGAAGGATCATTAATGGTGGCAAAGTCTTTGCAGTTTGGTTGTTTTTTTTTTCCCCTTACTATTCCTAGGTTGGGAGAACACCCTCTATAAATGATTATAAGGTGTTCAGTTTTTACATATAAAAGAGGGGATAATTCGTACATGTTTTGTAGGTGATATCATATATGGTAGTCCTTGTATGTTCAATTTAAAAACTTATTTATTAATGAGAAAGTATCATTGTCCTAAAGACCAAACAATAAAGTACTCGAAACTGGCCTTCGAATCCTAATGCTTCAACCTTGGCATTTAAGTGCTTGAATTTGTTGATAGAAGTTTCAAGTTCCATCGAACTGTTTAAAAATTCCATTCTCTATTCTTCAAAATTGTACACTGTTAAAAAAAAAAAATCCAATAAAGTACTCCATACATAGAATGTTACTTTTCAATTCGTCTTGTACTCAAAACCATTAGATTGAGGCAATGAAAGATAAAAATATATTAATAAATCTTTATACATTCTTGATTTATTAAAGGTAAAAGGTATTTTTGTATTTTCAAACTCTGAAGTGATGTTTTTATATTTATAGAGAACTGAAGGAAAAAAAAAAAAAAAAATTCGCATTACAAACTCCATGGCTTCTCTATACTAATCAATGTCATTGACATAAACAGGCTCCGAGAAGAAGCTTTGTTGAACTTCAACAGCCAGTTCCTCCAAACTCAGCTGACATTCAAGCCCTATCTGCAAACAAGGAATTAATAAAACCATATCTTCAATATATGCTCACAAAGCTATGGCACAAAAAAGACATTTTTTTTTTGCCCCAAAAATTTCCCATGTATCATAAATAAAATCATCCTGCTTCCATGAAAAGAAATAAAAAATTTGTAACAATCAACTCAACACTTTAAGAAACTTCAAATTGAACTAATATATGTAAGTTTATGTATGATTAAACAAGAAGACACGTATAGATTTACTCCGATTAAATGGTATACATATACCTTAACAACAAAGGAGTATAAAACAGTGTCTTCCATGCTGCTGACGTTAAGGTGAAGAACCTCAAAACAAAGTCTTTCCAGCACACTAATTATCTTCAGGACCTGACCTGTAATCCTCCTGGATACTATTTTCAAGATCACGTTGGACCCAGAGAGCTTCGCCTCTACATCTGCAAGCGAAGAGTTGCAGCATGCTCCTGGTAACCCTCCCCCAGCTTCAAATCCAAAGGGAATATCAGCCTGGACAGGAGGAAACTGCACTGGCACCCCCATAGGGCTAGGACCTGGGCTAGGGCTCAAAGTCTTTCTTTGCTTCTTTGACTCCAAAGCTTGCAGAACTTGGTGCAACTCCTTTATAAACTCTATTACCCCACCAATAATAGATGCTTGGTCACCCTAATCAAATATCAAAAATTGAAAATTAAATCCAGGGCTTTACTTTATATGGACTCACCAAAATAAAATAAAAGAAATTAAAAGGGGTTCAAGATTATGAATATAGTGTACCCTTTTGATATAGAAACTTGGGGTTAAAGAACGCAAGACTTTGAGATGCTCATTCATTTGCCTTCTCCTTTTTCTCTCCACAGCTATGTGAGTCATGGTTTTCTGTTTATTTTCCTTCTTTCTTCTCTTCGACGTTGTGAAGACTATATATATACTTTGAGTCTTGACTCTGAGTATTTATAAGGACCAGACATTGGAGAGGAGTAGCTGACTTGCTTGGTAATTAATGTTGTGTGTTGCAGTCTCGTGAAGGTTCTTTGTTACACTCTCTCCCTCTGTAGGTGTTACGTCGTCTCACGTTTATTATCTTGGAACAATAACATATATGCGTGAAATGCTCCGGTAGCCTGAGTTAATGTTAAAAAAAATGAAGGCTTGATCTCTTTGATCTGATCAATTTTATTTATTTTTCCCTCCGTATATATATGCACATTCCCACCTGTACATTCATTCATATACCTTTAATGTTATGCCAAATACAATTTGAAAGAAAATATTGAGTTCAGCATGTGGTGTCCATGGAAATTTGATTGCTTCAATTCAAAGTATAAGTCTTAAAACCACCATCACAAACAAGAAATTCTAGTGGTTCAAGTGGTCATCTAATATATTGTAAAGGATTGTCTTATCTTGTGGTGTGGGTTCGAATCCCAACCCTTCTACTTGTAATTCCCCTTCGTCTAATACCCCATGTTTGAGAGAAAAAAAGAAAAACCACCATCACAAACCAAAATTAACTATTAGAATAGTTATCACATTATCCATTGACAAGCAGAGAACGCTTTAATCAATGCCAAGCAAAATGAAGATGCTTCCAAACATAGATAGACTTCCAATTCTCTAAATAAAAAGGTGTTATATAATCTAAATTACATAACTTTAACTATTGAGTTGAAACATAAAAAAAA